GTATTATACTGGTTACACAGTTTGATTGAAGTTCTTCTTATGTAAATCCATGGCTACATTCATAAGAGGAATTAAGGCATGTGTTCACACATTGCTGTGGATGTGCGAACCACCTGTTCATCTCTGGGCAGCTCACAGTAGCAGAAGGCACCTTGTTAGCATTGCAGAAGTTACACAGTTTGCCGGAGAATTGGCCCGATTTTATTCTGCCTCATGCTTGATTAGCTAATCTCTGCCTCCTCCGCATACTTTTATCACTTTCATGGGAGAAGGAGCATTTGGGAAGACCACCCCTCACTTTACACTGCTCAAGATAAATTTGCTGAGTTGGCTCAGAAAAGAAAAATTATCTTCCCATTTGTAAACTGCATGTACATCATATGAAAATGGAAATACGGAAAATAAAATTTAAAAAAATATGGAAATAAATATGGGCATGGTCTTGTAAACCCTCAAACAAAACTTTATTTAAAAGAATAGCTCTGTGCCTATGTAAAGAGAAACTCATGAAAGTAAAGGAGTTTTCCAAGACAGGGCTATAGAAGGAACCTACTGTTGATAGTTCTTTTGGTGGGCCCTTTCAAAACATAGCTCATCTCACTGTGCATTAACATACAGTTCTGAAACAGTCTGCAAGCTTTGAAAGTATTCTGATAAATATCCCATCCTGGCCTACGTTCCTCATATTTTGCATGTGGGAGTCTTCAATGGAGTTGATACCAGTTTACAAGGATTCTTTCTCCATAGGTAAATCCCATAATTTAAGACCTAATCTGCCTCCATTAGAAATCAGTCTTCATCAGAACAGAATCAGGCTCTTAAACAATCCCATTTTCCTCAAACATGCAGAGTAACTTTTGTATACCTCATTAGCTATTTAAATTCCAAGGTTTTATTTTGCACATAAAACGGTGCCAAAGTTCTCACATTATTTTCTTGCCACTAAAATATACCTCATATTCTGACTCAGTATGGACTCACAATTGAGATTGTAAATTTGTGAGAAACACAAAACTGTCCAATCAATTGTTTGTGAAATGGCTTTTATTTTTTTATGTATGTATGTGCTGCGCACAATAGTCTAATGTATTCATTAAATAAACTTTTATACATCTTTTGGTAGTGTTTTGATTCCAAATCCCTATTAATTGTTGATCTTTGCTTGCTTCAGAGCTGCTGTATTCAGGAAAAAATACACAGTTTTTATTCACCTCTTGAACCAGATGACCTATTGGTACACTTAAAACTGGTAGACTTTTATGTCCTTCGGACTTCTTCCCTAGGAAGTCAAGAGAGAGTCATACTGGTTGTGGAGAAAGTGGAAGTTTCACAGAAAAGAAGGAAAATAAAACTTTAATCATCTGATTAAAGAATGAGCTGTCATAGTCACCAGGCCACATTCCTGTCTTTTTTACCTGGGGAAATTCCAGTACTGCTCTCTTGTTGTTAATGCTCTCCAATGTATCATTTCTTATGCATATCCACTACTTAATTAAATAAGAAAAACATTTTATAGTTGGCTTTTTCTTCTTGCTTGGAATTGACTTGAGGGTAACTTTCTACAGACACCTCTGACGATTTTCACCTTACTGTCCCTCAAAGTTGGGTACTTTGGAAACCCTACTGCATTTTAGTGAGTTGATAGGTGTTGCTTTCCCTCCCTATACTCCCAAGCTTCTCCCAGTCAGGGGACATGAATTCAGGTATTAAAAACCAATTAATATGCTGGGAATCTGCAGTCTGCTTTCCAGCTCCAAGCGCACTGTTTAACCACTGGCCAGCATGATACTTCAGAGCAGACATGTCTTCAAGGCTCTGATTGCTGGTGGCCCTTTTCACAAAGGTGAGAGCATTAGTGCTGTAGCCAAATACCACCCTCTGTATTTGCATTTTGGCTGCCTGTGCTCTCCTGTAATAACTCCCTTTGTTTACAAAAAGTCATAAATCATTACCTATAATACATAAAAAATTGCATATTACATACAAGATACATGGCCCACATACAATGACGATAGGACAAACCTGCAACGCATGTATCCATCCAAGACCAATCCATCTCCAGCGAAAAAACAGGATAATTGAGGTAGTAAGGGATATGTCTACAGGGGTTGAAGAAAGGCCACGTGTGTCCAGCTCACAAGATGCCCTCAGAAATGGATTTGTTTCTGCTCCATGTCACAGTTTGCCCTTTGAAAAGTGAGGGTGACCAGACACACCAGGGTGCCCTGAAGATGCCAACAGCTCCTGCGCTG